AAACATAATTCTCATTCATCAAGGAATAACAAGTGTAATATCCACTAAAGCAAAGCATAAGTATATAACACCAACAGGTTCCTTGTCAACAGCAAGGTTGTTGTCTGATTTTTCTGGCCCAGCAACATAATTCGCAATTTCTTTCTCTGTAGAGTCAGCACCAAAATCAAAAGATGACTCTCCACCAGACTTCGAGTCAGAAACAGAAGCAGTAGGAGGTTCAGGTATAGGGATAGACTTTTTTGACTTTTTCGGCTTTCCTCCAACAGATGCTGGGACCTTCTTACCTCGACCACCCTCAAGTAACTGAATATAAAAACTGATCAATTAAACATGGATAGTTCATGAGTTGCCGGGTAAAACGAGAAGTTACTCGATCACGACTTAACTAGGCATAATCGAACCTTAACATGGTATAGCTATGAATTCTTGAATATAAGTCGAACACTACAACTTAGAATGGACTTATTAACATGAAAATGAGTTGAGGATGGATTTACCTCCTCAAGTGTTCGACGGAAACTCGCAACTGATCGGGGCCTAGCGTGAGCGTGTCCGTGTGCGATACCAACTACTTCTTGTCGTGCGATGCTTGCCGTACCTCCACTGCTACTTGCCGTGCGTGTGTAAACACAAGAACTAAGGCAAAATTGCTAGCTAACTATTACTGAACTTAGTATAACTTAGAGGGGAACTATAAGGCCGAAAAGAGTGAAGAAAATTTAGTATAAGTCCCCTTTTTATATAGCCACGGCTTGAAAGCAATTTGGAGGTGAAGGATGAGTTAATGTGGAGATTTCATGAGCTAATGACACTTGTAATGAGGCAAGACTTACTTAGATGACTAATCCTCAAGTAAATCCCCATAATGACACGTTAACATTCCTATTAATAAAGAAAAGGTTTGGACAAAATCCACTAAATTGCCTCACAATAGCGTACGGCATTTTAATGATTTGGAAGCAATACCACACGATTAGGACTTAACCTTGGATTTATTACGTGATTAATTAATAATTAATCACCTCTTTAATGTTTATTCTTTAATTAAACATAATGCTTAATTACCAAAATTATTCCTAACGTAAACGATACGTCGAAAATAATTTTCGGTAATCTCGACTGAAAATAATTAATTCCGAAAATAATAATCGATAACATTATTATATCGGAACTAAAACATAATTTATACTGATAAAATAACGAGATATTACACACATCCCCAACGTCTAGAACAACAAAGTCCACTGGAATGATAAGCTTACCCACCTTCACGAGAACATCCTCAACTACTCCCTTGGGATACCTGATGGAACGGTCTGCTAACTGGAGGCACATGCGAGTTGGCCTCAAATCCCCAAGGCCGAGCCTTTAAAAATCGAGAAGGGCATGAGATTGATTCCGGCTCTGAGGTCAGCATCCCCGAAGCTACCTTCACGTTCCCCAAGGCTATCTGGATAATGAAACCACCGGGGTCACGTTCCTTCTTGGTCAGGTCGTGCTGCATAGCACTTGCCGCCTCATACACGACCACCTTCTCTCCATCTTCAAACCTCCTCTTCTTAGTTACCAAGTCCTTAAGAAACTTACCATAAGATGGCATATTCTTTATCACATCGAGGAGTGACAAGTTGACATTCACCTTGGAGAGCATGCTGAAAAGATTCCGGAACTGCTTCTCTTGCTTCTCGTTCTTAAGTCTGTCCGGAAAGGGAATACGCGGCTTGTATGGATCCGGCGACTTATGTAGCACCGGCTCATCTGACGCCTCCCCGGACTCTGTTTCCTTGATCTTTTCTGAATGAGTCTCCCGATCCTCGGGCTCGGGCATCTGCACTTTGTTGTCCACCTCCTTCCCGCTCCTGAGCACAGTGATAGCTTTAGCTTGCTCGGGCTGACTAGGCAACTTCCCTTTGTTCATCTCCGTCTCAATGGTCCCAACCCTAGCGGCCAGTTGGCCAAACTGTGTCTCTATGTGCTTGATGGAGGCATCCTGATTGACATCTCTGTAATATCCCGACTTTTTATCAGTATAATAATATTTCAGTTCCGATATTATTTTTTCGGAAGTAAATATTTTCAGTTATTTCAGTCAAAATTACCGGAACTATTTTCGACGTACCGTTTACGTTCGAAATAATTTTGGTAATTTAGCATTATGTTTAATTGAGTAATTAAACATAATTAAGTGATTAATTTAACTTAATCACGAGATTAGCAAATTGTTCGGATTTTATTCCGAGTTCATGTTCGAGTATCGTGCGTGCATGCGAGTGTTCGGTTTTATTTCCAAGTCGTGTGCATCATTGCCGTGCGTGAGTGCCGTGTGGGTGCATGTGTCCGTGCGAGATTCCGAGCCCAACCTT